TTTCTGGGAGGCGGCCATGAAGAAAGAGATAGATGGCCACGACAAGACTAGAACCTTTTCCAAGGTCAAGGAGCTGCCCGAGGGGCGGAAGGCCGTAGGTTCGAAGTGGGTGTTCTCTTGGAAGACGAATGAGAAGGGCCTGATAGTCGACTTCAAGGCCCGTATGGTTGCGCGGGGTTTCTCTCAAATCCCCGGCATCGACTTCCACCACTCATCCTCAGCGTGCCCGTCTACAGCGTCTATCAAGACGGTGATTGCCGTAGCCACTGAATAGGGCAAGAAACTCGCTCACTGGGATGTGAAGCAAGCGTACATCCACGCTAAGCTAAAAGAAGAAATATTCATCAGGTTCCCGGAGGGCTGTGGTAGCATGTCCGGCAAGGTGGTCAAGGTTGAGCGTGCCCTGTATGGCCTAACGCAGAGTGGCCGTGAGTGGGGGTTTGAAGCTGCCGATGCCCTCATCGAGAATGGATTCGAACAGTGCAGGGTTGACCCGTGTGTCTTCCGGAAGGTGGTGGATGGAGAGGTCGTAGGTCTCATCGTGATCTACGTTGATGACATCTTAGTGGCGGCAGACGAGGGAGACCGAGAGGAGTTGTTCGCTTCCCTCAACAAGAAGTTTCCGGTGAAAGATCTGGGGGAGTGTACCTGGTACGACGGGTGTGCTATCGCCATGGATGTAGAAAATTGCATCACCAAGCTGTCCCAGACAGCATACATTGAGAGTATGCTGACGCGGTTTGATGTGACCACGACCGCTTTCACCCCTGCTGCCACCGATGCCGACCTAGAGCCGAAAGGAGATGACGAGCCCGANTGGCCGTGAGTGGGGGTTTGAAGCTGCCGATGCCCTCATCGAGAATGGATTCGAACAGTGCAGGGTTGACCCGTGTGTCTTCCGGAAGGTGGTGGATGGAGAGGTCGTAGGTCTCATCGTGATCTACGTTGATTACATCTTAGTGGCGGCAGACGAGGGAGAGCGAGAGGAGTTGTTTGCTTCCCTCAACAAGGAGTTTCCGGTGAAAGATCTGGGGGAGTGTACCTGGTACGACGGGTGTGCTATCGCCATGGATGTAGAAAATTGCATCACCAAGCTGTCCCAGACAGCATACATTGAGAG